AATAAAATTCAGTTAAAAAAATCTTACTGACTTCAAACTATTTAATGATAATATATATATATATATATATATATATATACGTGATTTTCTGGATTTTCTTTTCTCATTTTGTCTCTCATAGTTGAGGTATACCTATGATGAAAATTACAGGCCTCTCTCATCTTTTTAAGTGGGAGAACTTACACAATTGGTGGCTGACTAAATACTTTTTTGCCCACATTACAATATATTGCCTTTAAAATGTTTTTTATGTATAATATAACATAACACAATATAATATAACAATAATAATAGTTTTTATATTAGAGTTTTTTATTCTAATATAATATTAGATTAAAGGGGTCATATGATGCTATTTCATCTTTTCCTTTCTCTTTGGAGTGTTACAAGCTCTTGGTGCATAAAGAAGATCTGTAAAGTTACAACGACTAAAGTCTCAAATCCAAAGAGATATTCTTTATAAAACCCCGCCTACCTTAAATGGCTCGTTCTAACACACCCCCACATGTCTACCTCACTATGTGGGAAGATTTGCCGTGAAGACGCTGTGTGTTTCGTTGTGAAAGCGAAACTACTTTGTTTGGTCTTCCAAAAGAGGACGATATGGCTTCGTCATGCCTGGAGCTGATCCCTGCTGGTCGCTGAGGGAATACATCAACTTAGTGCTGTGGATCGCCAGATCGGCTTTCACCGTGGACGAAGCGGAGTCGTCACATGTGGTTGCCGCAAGCCCGCCGGACGCTCCTTTGTCGAATCTGCCACCTCTGCTCACTCTAGCCCTCTGGCTGTTCCTCACTTTATCCCCCGGCCTCTGCTCACTCTAGGCCGCCATGTGTGATGCTGTGTTTCGTTGTGAAAGCGAAACTACTTTTGTTTGGCTTTCCAAAAATGGACATGACTAGAAATCAGTGGTTAAGTTGTATTTACAACACTGTTCCAGAACAGTTCAACCAAAATATTCAGATGTGTGCAGCACATTTTATGGAGGACTGTTTCCTGATCCTGGGAGAGTAGACTACAATGCTGGCTGCAAGTAAGTTTTTTATATTTAAAGATATTAAAAGTTTTGAGCAGTGTAGAGTAGCACTTGTTTTTTGTCTTTCTCCAGACATGGTTTTATGTTTACGCAGAGCGATATGCAACGCAAGGTGTAAAAAGACAGTATAAGTCATTATAATCAGTAATTATGTCCCCACTGGATGCAACAAATGCCTCGTTTATAATGGGTTTTTATTGGTTTTGTCTCGTCACGCCGGGACACGGCATCACAGTATGGTAAGGGGCATAACATTTCCGTCACACGCTTGAGGTATTCGGCCAATCATAACGCACTGGATAGCTGGCCAATCAGAGCACACCTCGCTTTTCAGACCGTTGAGCTTTGTAAAAATCGACGCCTTTCAGAACGGCAGGGCATAGAGGAGAAACAATAATGTACAGTATGTGGAAAATAATGTGTTTTTTTAACCTTAAACCGCATAAACGCATTGCATTACACCAAATACACAAAATAATGTTCTTTTTAGCAGCATCATATGACCCCTTTAATATATAATAATTTAATATAATATATAAAAATAATATAAAAAGAAATTTAATATATTTCAAGAGACTTTCAACCAGCATAACAAAAATGTTTTTGAACCAAATCAACTACACTGCCTTTAAAGTGTCATTCAATTGCACTTCCCAAAAAAGGAACTTGGTAACTCAGCCTTTCTGAGCCGAAGCAGTCACTTATGACATTCCATTCACGTTAGGATGCTCCCTACGTGGGCAGCAGACAGCAGGGCAGCTCACTAGGCTGTACAATAGAACTGTTGAGTGAGTTGTTAAAGGGGTTCACTTGAACTTTATGGACAGAAACACAAAAGGCAAATTGGTTTTGCTACCATGTGCCCTCTTGACCCTCGTTTTGTAGCTAACAATCCAAATTGCATTTCGCACCTCAAAGACAAACAGCCCTAACCACATGCTCGAAAGCAGGATGGAGAGAGAGAACGAGTGAGTGAGTGAGACACCGAGAGAACAGAGGGAAAACAGGAGCAGACAATTGCAGGAAAACTACTCAGAGGCCCAGAGAGGAAGAGACCGGGAGACAAACAAAAGACAGACATACAGAGAGAGAGAGAGAGAGAGAGAGAGAGAGAGAGACAGCATGATGAAGTACAGAGCTCTGCGTGGCACACACACACCCACACCCAGACGCCGACCTTTCCCGTTTTACACAGCGGTTTCATTGTAAGCGTTCATGTGGCCGCTGTAACCCAAACAAATAAAAACACTTCAAAACAGCTGCGAAATCTATTCGTCAGAGTCTGTGTCCATAAACGGTGGCTAAACGAGTGTGGGAGAGACGGAGATTATGGGCGTGTGGATTCGAGTGCATTTCTGTGTGATAAAAACAGCTCTGGGATTAGACTGCCGTGCCGTTATGGGAGACGGAGCTTTGTTAAACATTCAGAGTGGAAAAGCCCTGCCTTACCATCAGATAATATCATGGGGTGAGAAGAAAGAGAAACAGACAGTATACAGTATGTTATGTGTTCATATAAGTATGAAACCTCAAGTGGCCCGATCAGATTAAATCACCACCCAAAGGGCTTTTTAATTGCTCCGAGATGAGCTTTTAAAACTCAAGAGACTTCAGTGACTTCTTAGCTAAAGTCAATATGAAACAGCATTTCATAAATTTGACATTATGATTCTATCCATCAGGAATTGATTGGATATTGAAAAGTGGGCATTATATTCTAGAATGGAGCCAGACGGGTCACCTAAATGTGCCGTCCCATCCTGAAAAGCCTCCTGCACCTACTTTTGAGGAGACTGACAGTAGCCTGAAACCATTTATAAACATATATAACATTAACCTGTAAGCCACACAGCCTAGCTGATGTCAGTGGAAAATGGGGTCTTTTGACTTTGCATATGAATTGTATCTCAGATGTTTCTCATTAAATGTGTTTGGAGAATTAAATCTAGACATGTTGTATGACACGATTGCCATATATAAGAGTATAGAGCTATAAAATGAATGTGGATAGCAGCTATTTGGTGTGAAGCGTTTGAGTTTATATTGAGATCTCTGACTTTTGATTGCAGACTTTAGTATCTTGGGAAGTCTGAGCACAGGTTGAGACTGTTGAGATCTCATCTGAAACTGAAAGAGGAGACGTGTGAGATTTATGAAGACTGCTTGGAGGATGACATTAAACTAGGACTGCGGGCTTTCACATTGAGCAGCATTAACTACACAGAGCCGTTGTTCACTGACAAGCTGCGCAAAACCACGTTCATATTCGCGCTATTTTTTTATGAGGGTAAATCTTCAACAAACGTACATTTTTAGGTAACCTAGTGCTTTAACAGATTGTTTATTTATTCATTAGCTTATTTACTGTTTGTTTTTGTTTTCTCTTTTGTCCACCCTGTAAACGTCTAATCGGAACATACTATTACATGCTATTGTTTTAGTGAGTTTATGACATGTGCGACCAAACTACATCTCCCATGATTCTTTGGGGCATCACAAAAAACATATCCCGTGCTCTTCGATTTAGGCCACAAAAGCATCCTGCCTTTGTCAGGAAGCATGAAAGAGATCATGAAATATGAACTCGCCCAACACATTCATTTAGTTCCAACTAAAACCACTCGAACACCAATCATGTCGTAATTACTCCCATGTAGAAACTCCTCAGGAGGACCTGAAGGGAGCAAAAGCCCCTCACCGCAAAACCAAGAAACTCAGTTAGCGCACTTCCCAAATGGAGAAAAATGTGTCTGTGTGCCTTTGGTGAGTCAATGAGAGTAAATAAAGAGCAGCAGTCGGTAATGTGATGTTACAGCAGGACTGGAGAGCATTGAAAGCGGTTTAAGTTTGAAGAGCTCTTTTCATGTGAAGAGCGCTGCCATATTTCAAAAGCACACAGAGAGACGGAGAGAAAGAGAAGCAGCAGCTGAACGCCTCCGCCAGCTTCTACTGTAACCACATCGCAGCTATTTTGGCGACAGTCGGGAAACAGCGACGATCCAGAAGCCCATCAGGGGGGATAAGTACCTCGTTTTCGCTTAAATGCACGCTAGATTATTTCCGACTAAATCCTCAAACGGTGTGGTATCTGCCATTCTCAGATGCATGAGGGATTTAGGACAAAGCAGCCATGGGTCAATGCCACTGTTTCTTATGTATTAAGCATAAAAACAAAAACACAAAGCTGTTTGTTATGAATAGAACCTAAATAAAACTAGTGCCCTACTCAAACAAAGACAAACTTCATCATAATTACATTACTACTGTGAATGTTGTCTAAAATATAGTTTTTGTAAGGTTAATGGAGAATAGCAAGTTATTTTCCTGCAAAATGTAAAAACTTTGTTTACCAATGTTTGTGCATTTTAGTGGTTTACTTTTATGTATGAACCGATTGATTGATTTCCTCCTTTTTGTTCAAAATATATTTATTAAATTTTTTTTCTTTTCATCCACCTTGAATCCCTCATTAGAAATGATAAATCATAAATAATTTTTAAAAAGAATGTATTAACTGATCATTCATTTTTATGTATTTGTTTATAATTTCTTTGTTTAATCATTACCTCTCTTTTGTTTAAAATTGTAATATAAATATTTACAATGTATATATATTTACTTATTTATTATTTTTGTTATTTTTCCTCCATGAAACAAATCATATAAAATATAAATAAATCCTAAATAATAAACTTAATATCAGTATTAACTGATTGATTATGTATTTATTTATTAATTCATTCATTCATTCATTCATTCATTCATTCAATTCAAATTATTTGAATTATTTGATCAATACCTCCTGTTGTTCAGTATTTATTTATTAATTCATTTGGTAATTTTTTCCGTTTCCTCCATGCTGTAAACCTTATAAAAATTACAAATAATTCATTAAAAAAATTCATAAAAATAATCTGTATTCTTTTTACATAATAATAAACAAAAAAGAATAACGTAGCTGCTGGGCTTCAAAGAAATCGAGATTCCTGATTCTAGAACAAAAAAAAAAAAATGTATTACAGCTTATATGGAGATTTTGCTATTGTTTGGAAAGGAAGAGGTGCCCTCCCGGAAACCCTGTTGGGAAAATGTACGGGATATCAAAAAAAGTAATGCATTTTTAATGGCACCTTCAGCACATCTTCGACAGAAGTTCTGGGATTGTGCTGGGTGCATGATGACAGGCAATTGGGAAAGTAACACAGCGGTTGGCGTGATCAAGAGTCCTTCACGCAAACACACACACACACACACACACAAGTACACACTCCGTCACCACACTTGACACGATCCGTGTCTGAGCCGGGAGTTTCCTAATCTGTCTGCACCCAGCGAGGAGGCCTGGCCTCTGCCTTAATCTCTCAGGGAGAAAATCCGGGTGTCCCTTCGCCTCTGAAAGACACTCCCACCGCACTGCCACACCTCAAACACACCGACACGCACAAAGCGTGCTTTGATCGGCGCTAATACACGCCACATTTGATCCATGAAAATAGCAAATGACCCATTATGACATCACAAAAACTGGCGGCAAAACAAACTAAGACCCCAGAGCCGCCACAATGACCCGACGTGGTGTTATCAGAGAGAGCTCTGTAAATATGATTCAAAGGATCTTCATCTGAAATTCATGAGCCGTCGAGTGCCGACTTGTTCACAGGGGTTTTGTTTGTTGTCGAATTCCCATCAAATGAATGTGTTTTGCGAAGAAACAGATTTAAGGGGATAGAGAGGATATTATCGTCTGTTCACCCTCATGTAACCTAAAACACAATGGGACACAAAATTACTTACACTTCCATTTTGAAAGAAAGTAATACATTTATTCAGCAAGGATGCATTAAATTGATCAAAAGTGACGGTCAAGAGTTTTACAATGTTATAAAAAGATTTCCATTTCAAATAAATGCTGTTCTTATGAACGTTCTATTAAATCAAAGAATCCTGAAAATAAAAGTATCAGTTTCCACCAAAATACTGGACAGCACGAATGTTTTCAACATTGATAATTATAATAAGAAATGTTTCTTGAGCAGCAAATCAGCATATTAGAATGATTTTTGAAGGATCATGAGAGCATTTGACAAAATATTAACATTTAAATGGTAATAATATTTCACAGTATTACAGTTTTTACTGTATTTTTGATCAAATAAATGCAGCCTTGACGTGCATAATAGACTTCTTATAAAAAATTTTAAAAAACACATAAAAAAAAGTTCTTACCAGCCTTAAACTTTTGAATGTCACTCTATATTGGAGAAAGCCCAGGCTGCTCCATATGTGACCCTGGAGCACAAAACAGTCTTAAGTCGCTGGGGTATATTTGTAGCAATAGCCAAAAATACATTGTATGGGTCAAAATTATCGACTTTTCTTTTATGCCAAAAATCATTAGGATATTAAGTAAAGATCATGTTCCATGAAGATATTTTGTAAATTTCCTACTGTAAATATATCAAAACTTAATTATTGATTAGTAATATGCATTGCTAAGAACTTCATTTGGACAACTTTAAAGGCGATTTTCTCAATATTTAGATTTTTTTTGCACCCTCAGATTCCAGATTTTCAAATAGTTGTATCTCTGCCAAATAATGTCCTATCCTAACAAACCATACATCAATGGAAAGCTTATTTATTCAGCTTCCAGGTGCTTTCAGGTGACTTGTCAAGCTCCTAAAACTAACATAAAAGCAGTTCATATGACTAATTTTCTACATACTAAATCTGTTAAAGTTATATATGAAACTTGGTGTAAGGAACAGACTGAAAGTGTAAGTCGTGTACGCCGCAGTTCTGATTCATGCTGATATTCAAACGTGAAGTTCACAATATACACAAGCATATGCAATGATGATGAATGTTTTATTTAGATAGGAGTCCACATGAAAAATATGCACATTGCATACCTTCCCCAACCCTTGCATATTTGTTTATTAAAGATTTTGGCTAATCTGATAATGCATTCAGCTACCAACAAAAGTGCAATAATCTTCTCAATTTAACACACTTTACCACGCACCATTGCACATTTCCCACCAAAATTACTACTGATTTCATTTGGGCTGCATGGGAAGTTAACCGCTACAAAAGCAGGGCGCAACTGTGCTACTCAACTAAACTGTGACCAATTATCTGCGGAAATCTCTGGACATCACAGAGAAGATTGGCTTATTTGCGAAACCAATTGATAGTGCGGCGCAGAAGACTGTGACTGTGCAGCGTGGATCAGTGTGCACTTTCAGCGGGGCATGCTGTGCGGTTGAACACATGCTCAATGCAATGATGCAGTTTGGGCCGCTGTTATGGTGCTTTTTGCTCTCAGAGCAATACTTTGTGAAAATGAGGGGATATTACTGCAAACAATGATTTGAAAAGGGAATTGTGCATATAATAATTGTTTTAAGGGGTTTGATTTGGCATAGTGAAAAATGACAAAAGGCGCTTTGTGTCGACCTCTGCCATAGACAAAAGAGAAAAAAAATAGATTTACTGGTTCTCACTCATATTTGTAAACTTGCCAGGTTTGAATTTAATCATCTATGACACTTCAGAGCTACAATGGAGCTTTAAATGCATCTATACATACAATTTATCTATACATTTTTATATGTAATATATTTATAGTTTTATTATAAAATATATTATATATGTTTATATATTATATGTTATATATTTTATTGTATCATTTTTATATATTATATATTTTTATTATATTTTAACTATATTTAACTATTAAAATATATAATTGAATTTATTTTATGTAATTTTATATAATGTATAATTTAATATATTCATAGAAAAAATTGAATTTAATATAAATATATATAAACAAACACGTATATACAGCCTGTGTGTGTGTGTGAAATTATATATATATATATATATACACATACATACACACACACATACATTTTATATGTAATATATTTATAGTTTTATTATAAAATATATTATATATGTTTATATATTATATGTTATATATTTTATTGTATCATTTTTATATATTATATATTTTTATTATATTTTAACTATATTTAACTATTAAAATATATAATTGAATTTATTTTATGTAATTTTATATAATGTATAATTTAATATATTCATAGAAAAAATTTGAATTTAATATAAATATATATAAACAAACACGTATATACAGCCTGTGTGTGTGTGTGAAATATATATATATATATATATATATATATACACATATACACACACATATACATACACACACATATACATACACACACACACACATACCAATATACATGGGTGTGAGCAGACGATGCCAGAATTTGCATCTTTCAGCGAATCAATTCTCAAAGCTCCAGCAGATGATAACATCAAAATCAGCTCCTTCAACGCTTAACTTGCTAGGTTCAAAAAGGATTTTAAACTCCTGTCTGGTGGCTGCGAGAAATGTTTTGTTTTTGCAAGGGTGCCCTGGGAAGTTTCAAACACGTGACATTGGTGCGTACACACACACACACACACACACAACACATGGTTTCCAGTAGCACTAATCTCTAAACGGACAGAAACAAAACAAACAAAACGGCTCACATATGCTAGCATGTTTCTAGGGATAAGACACTCAATAGTGAGGGTGAGTTAATCTGGTTCTGGAGCAGGTGTAGCAACACAAGCATGCCAAAATCTGCCCTCTCCTCCCTCCTCTTGCCCTTTGGCCGCTTGCTGAGTCTCGGCTGTGCGTTTTCTCTTGTGTTTGATGCACGCGACCCCATCCCCCTTCACCTCCTCTCATTCCCGACCTCTCTTAGCACACACACACACACACACACACAATTGCAACATAAACACTGACAAACGCACACCGTTTGGCTGGTCAGACCTGTATTCCTGCTTCCTCTCCTAATTTACATCCTTTATCATTACGATGGGATTTTGCATACCTGTATGAATGCGTAGTCGAGTACTTCCCAAACAGACACCATAACCTATTGTTACAAGCAACACAAAATCCCAACAATGGCAGTTAAAGACTAATTTAGCTCATCGGAAAATCAAGTAATAGTCAATAAACACCCCATACCATATGGGTCTTCCTTAATTTAATTTCACGGAGTCAATTTCTGCGCCTGTGATCCTCGGGATAACCCTGAGTTCGTTCATGACTGATTAACAATGCACTAACAGATGTCTTCTTTGTGTCGATACAACGTGTGTGTATGTATGCGTTCGAGCGGGGGGTTGGTAGGTACACTGGTGTGTGTGAGCGTGTGAGTGTTCGTCTCATCCTTTTGAAAGGAAATCCCATTATAATCCAGATTGAATGCTGAGAGCAGTCAATGTCAACCTCGTAACCTCTTCAGAATCTCCAGGTTTGGGCATTTTGAATGAAAGTAAAGCCAAATCTGAAAGTAAAATCGAGGCTAAGGGCACAATAGCGGCTTAATTGGATTTAGTTCAAATGCATCACACTCCAAATGGGTAGAATTCATTTAGCACTTCATAATCACCAATTTTGTATGTAAATCATTGCAGTGATTAGCGCAATTATATTCCAAGTCTTTTCGTACTCGAGTATCTTTTGGTGTAGATCAATAAATTCGGTTAGGGCTGTACCAGGAGATCCACCAGTCAACCAATCTGCAAGTTAGTTTTGTGTTGAATAACAATGTTTTGGAATCTTTCATTGTAAATTGTGTGAATTTCTTGGATTGATTAAAGGACGAACAATGGCAAGAGCTACTTCGTCTCATCCTTTTGAAAGGAAATCCCATTATAATCCAGATTGAATGCTGAGAGCAGTCAATGTCAACCTCGTAACCTCTTCAGAATCTCCAGGTTTGGGCATTTTGAATGAAAGTAAAGCCAAATCTGAAAGTAAAATCGAGGCTAAGGGCACAATAGCGGCTTAATTGGATTTAGTTCAAATGCATCACACTCCAAATGGGTAGAATTCATTTAGCACTTCATAATAACCAATTTTGTATGTAAATCATTGCAGTGATTAGCGCAATTATATTCCAAGTCTTTTCGTACTCGAGTATCTTTCGGTGTAGATCAATAAATTCGGTTAGGGCTGTACCAGGAGATCCACCAGTCAACCAATCTGCAAGTTAGTTTTGTGTTGAATAACAATGTTTTGGAATCTTTCATTGTAAATTGTGTGAATTTCTTGGATTGATTAAAGGACGAACAATGGCAAGAGCTACCAGGCTAATCCATCAGCACAGACACATGGGGGTTTCTACATGCACGATGGGGCAAACAAAAGGATTTCAGTGCTTATGTAACACCCATATGGGCCTGAACTATGATAGAATCTGCATGGAGTAAAAAATAGATTGCATCTTATCAAAAACTCCACAGAGTAACGCTGCAAGAATTACACTTCCTGTGTGCTTATAAAACATCTTATGGATTAAAATGATTTTTTTTTTTTACAGAGCACAGAGTTACTACACATGTCAGCCTTGAAATGCTCTCAGGAAGCCTTTTAATAGCAACAAAAGACCGAGCAATATAATATATGTGCTATAAAACTAGCTGATACTTTGTCAATAACTCAGTCCACATTTCTGATTAACAAAAGTGTTATTTCCTGTATCATTTGCAAAATCGAACAGCCTTGTCAACTACTAATAAAAAAGGTGCTGTACAGAGCACTGCATGAATGAGTCATTAAACCCGTAAACAAGTTAGCATTTTTAAACCTCTGGTTCATTCTGCCTATAAGCAAGTGGGTTTTTGGTTGAATGTCTGAGATAATGTCTTAATAGAAGCTCAAGATATTTTCCCATTTTATTCTATGACATAAAATACACCAGTAATTCCTGCTTGTGATTTTATATGTCTTGAAAGAGGCAGTTGTTATAACAAGTGGCTAAAAGGGACTACAGAGTTTGTTGGGGACATTAAACGTCGTCACGTCATCACATCATCAATTTTTGTTTAACTTAAAGAGATAGTTCACCCAAAAATGAAAATTCTGACATCATTTACTCGCCCTCATGTCATTCCAAACCTGTATGAGTTGCTTTCTTATGTTGAACACAAAAGAAGATATTTTGAAGATTGCTGGTAATCAAACAGTCGGTGGTTGCCATTGACTTCCATAGTAGGGGAAAAAAAATACTAATGGAAGTCAATGGCAACCTCCATTGAATATCTTCTTTTGTGTTCAACATAAGAAAGCAACTCATACAGGTTTGGAACGACATGAGAGCGTGTAAAAGATGACAGAATTTTCATTTTTGGGTGAACTATCCCTTTAAACTTTCTAATTAAATTTTAGAATGTAATGAAAGATTTTGGAAGCTTAATGGTGGCGATGTTGAAGTCATGTGACCGTGGTGTAGTTTGCTTATAGCCTAACATTGGATGTGTACTTATGGCGATTGTATTTAGGCTTCCAAAATTCATAAATGTTGTTAAGACTATCATGATGAACAAAACATGTGCGAATCAAACTTTTGTTGGTCACAGAGCATATTTTCAGCAATAATCCAAAAGCCAATGGAAAAATCCCATTGGGTTTTTGTTAGGGATGCACCGATATGAACATTTTGCCCGATACCGATAACTGATAATTCTTTATTTTTGAAAGCCGATAACCGATATGTTGGCCGATAAATCTATATCCAAATTTTTATATACTTTTTGAGAGCCTGATTACAAAAAAGTTCTCATCATTAAAAGCCACATCCCGAACACTTCAACATAAGCAGCCTAGTTTGAACGGTGTACGTTTTAAAAATATTTTTACTCTCCCATTACCAAATTTAGTCATAAAAAAGTCTTACAAATAAATAAAATAATGCATAAATAATGCAAACAAGTCACTGGACATCATTACACGTGTAAAGAATCAAAATGAATGCGCCACAGATCAATAAAACGGAATAGCCTCTGCACGGACAATAATTAAATGATTTTAATTACTAAACTATATTGTTGATGAAAATAATAAGAGAAAAATACAAGTGGTTGTTGTTATTAATAATGTATTAATGATTTTGAAAAAGTAACAAATTAATACCACTGTTTTAAATAGCAGCCGTTGAGCTGCGCGTGCTGAAGCTGAAGAGCTGAATGAACATGGTAAACTGAAGCGTTTTGCTGGCAGCTTATTTAACTCAAGGAAATGCATCCTGAGATTAATATTAATACCACATAAACATAATATTACAACTTATATATGTACAAAATGATGCAGTTATTGCATGCTATAGTCAGAATGTGTGATCCTGTTGTGGATGCGCTCTTCCCATAACAACGCGCTGAAACACGGCAACTAAACCCAAAGAATTCACAACGTTTTATTATAATAATGTTCTCATTAGAATGTTATATACACGACATTCCCAATCATAGTTATTAATGTTGTGCACTGCTGTTTGAGCTGCGTGCGCTGAGCTAAAGATGTTCACCGGTAAACTGAAGCGCTCTTTTAACTTAACCAAACGCATTCTATACGAGATAAATCAGATATATATCAAATAAACACAATATTACAATGTACAATTGCACAAAAGGCTGCAAACGAACAGCGCGCATCTGAAGTGTCTCTGAAGGAAATAATGCATTATTTATCGGCTTTAAGATATCGGCAACATTTTCTTATCGGGCCGATACCGATAACAGAAAAAATTTGCATTTATCGGCCGATACCGATATGGTGGCCGATATATCGTGCATCCCTAGTTTTTGTCAAGGAAACTAGGGTGATGCTAAATTCCAGGTAAGCCTAAATATGAGGCTATTTCATCCCTGCAGCGCTCCATTTAACACATTCATTTAGACCAATTAATAATAAAAAAACTAATTTAATCATGCCCCCTGATCGACAGTTTTTAACAACAGCACAACAGAATGAAACACAATAGAGGGGTCAAAGTTGAAAATGCTTTTGTTCCTGTTTTGTAAGTCGCTTTGGATAAAAGCATCTGCAGAATGCATTAATGTGAAAGTAAATGAGAAGTTTTAACTTGACGGTGTGGGACACTGAGATGTATATACATTAACCATTTCAAAAATACTACAGATACTATGTACACTGTGAATAATGCTTGGATGAATAAGCATTCAATTTCATTTGCCATTACTAAACTGTCTTATGTACAGATCAGCATTACGGCCACCGCTGACCCTGCCCTGTAGATATCGGCATCAGTACCGGCCATTAAAAAAACCTATATTGGTTGACCACTAGTATATAGTGCACATGGGACACGACCGTAGGCCTCATTACGCAGTATTGCAGTGCTAAGCACATGAGAGAGGGGCAGAGGGATGTAGACTAGAGATTATTAACACGAAACACAGACTAATCAGTTCAACAGAAAATCCCCTGAACCACAAGAAGAACCACGGAAATGAGAAGACGAAAGAGAAACGACAGAAGGAGAGAGATTATTTGAAGAATTAGCAGAATGTTTGCAAAGAAAGAAAGAAAAAGAAAGAAAACGAAAGAAAGAAAGAAAAAGAAAAAAAGAAAGAAAGAAAGGCAGCTATTGAGACAAAAAGAGAATCATTTCAGTGGAACAAAACAGCAATTATTCTGTTGTTATTCTGTTGACGGTTTTCATAGGCAGTCATGTGTGGATGCATAATGTGCTGAAGAAGGCAACGCAAAAGAGAGCGAGAGGGAGTGTTTCTGGCATTGATGAACTCTACCCATGTTCATGCACGCTTGCGGAGTGTGAAGGACCGACCACGGTGTTGATTTGGTGAAAATGAGCCAAAATGCTTCAAGACATCCCTGCTTGATACAGCAGCACATCTGCTCAGCGATCACGAAGCCTGCTGAAATCATTCCTTAGTCTACTGAACCAAGACGCTATCATTAATATCTTTTGTCTGAGATGAAGACTATTAAAACCTCACAGATTAAAGGCTACTACTAACCAACTAGTCATTCAGCAGACGCTTTTATTTAAAGTGACAGTGCACTTATTACAGGTTCAATCCCACTCATAATGTATGCATTTACTTTTAGACCTGCTTCTTTTATACAAAGTACTCAAGCGGTAATGCTATAGCAATTTAATATGTACCACGGTACTGAATGATTACAATATTATTCCATGGTATTTACATCAGTCACCTACTTCAAAGAAAACCATGGTACAGTTAAAAAAAAAGTACCAAGTTTTGGACATGGTACTCAAACAGCATACAGCTGTCAGTCCTGTATCGGAGTCATTAAAATGGTTGCGTTCACACACATTTCGGTTATTTATGGCAGTGACATATGTGTCTAGCACGTTGCGGGTTTACATGTGTAGTTTCGGTAACTTACAGATCGCAGATGTGAGCTAAGTGTCATCTGAAGGTTTAAATTCAGTCATCGGTCAGTTTTGTGGTCTGCGTGCGACTCAAATGCTCTGCTCTTTACTCTGGTATAAAGAGATTTAACAGATTAAAATCATGCCTCAATTGAACTTTCGTCGTGTCAAATGTGACAAGACTTTGCTCTCGTCTCCCACTCAGACAGATCCATTTTTGCATTCTCTCAACTAAATGACTCTTTCCTTATAAGGGACTCAACTTTTTTAACTGCAGTTAAAAACATCTGCTGCACACACACCGACAGGTGGAGAGAGTCAAACGCTGACACACCAAAGCTCACGTCTGGCTCAACTTGATTCAGAGGTTTGAAATAACAAGATCTCTTTGGCTTTGATGCTGCCATATAAATGAAAATCTATTGTGCAACTCACTTTTAATTGCGTTTGAAACATGTAAAGCGGTTCTTAGTCAGTCCTGTGGTCATTTTAAACCATCTAATGTGGTTTCCATTACAGCAGACAGCTATTTTAACCATTCAGGGCGTGATATTACACCTAAACCACCATGGGTGATGACCTTTGACCCTTTACCATAATTCTATTTGACAGTCTTCAGAGTTTTTTATATTAAAAAAGGGTTGAAAATGGCAAATCACTATGTACTTGTGGAATATTTACTCTTCTTAGGTGTCTATTTTAATCATATATTTTACATAAGCATCTCGATATACATCAATTTGAATATCTATCTCTCTCTCTCTCTCTCTCTCTCTGTGTGTGTGTGTAAATCTCCTTAAACTACATAACAGTAGTTTTAAATATATAGTCTCATTTGCTAGTTTTGTGCAACTCACTTTTAATTGCGTTTGAAACATGTAAAGCGGTTCTTAGTCAGTCCTGTGGTCATTTTAAACCATCTAATGTGGTTTCCATTACAGCAGACAGCTATTTTAACCATTCAGGGCGTGATATTACACCTAAACCACCATGGGTGATGACCTTTGACCCTTTACCATAATTCTATTTGACAGTCTTCAGAGTTTTTTTATATTAAAAAAGGGTTGAAAATGGCAAATCACTATGTACTTGTGGAATATTTACTCTTCTTAGGTGTCTATTTTAATCATATATTTTACATAAGCATCTCGATATACATCAATTTGAATCTCTCTCTCTCTCTCTCTCTCTGTGTGTGTGTAAATCTCCTTAAACTACATAACAGTAGTTTTAAATATATAGTCTCATTTGCTAGTTTTAACAGAAAAGTAACAAGTCAACTTGGCACAAAGGCACGTAAGGTGTTTGAGGAATAACTGCTCGCATCCTAAATGACCTGCAGACAGTCTTTTGTGTTGTGCTCTCTTTCGTTGGTTAATCTGTGTTAAACTGGTTCGTTGTGAGCTCAGCGGTGCACAAATGCAACAAACATCAAAGAACAAATGTAACAAACATCAAAGAACAAATGTAACATCAAACACTGAATGTAGCGCCGTGACGTCACAACCATATATACGTCTTACCTTCCGCAGTTTACAGCGTTCCGTCACTCTACCTGCCTCAGTAACACTTCAGCACAATCTGCTGTTGGTTAATGTGTCAAACATGGAAAAGTCCAGTCCGCTCGCGGCTCCTGTCAGGGCTCTGGTTTGTGCTGTTATTCCCGGAGCATCGAAACTTCCCGGTGAATCAACCGCCAGGACGCGAGACGCGCAGCGCAACACGTGGATGACTGACAGACAGACTCTGAAACACTGAAGCTGAAAGTCATTTCTCTCGGGAATGAAACTGAGGCAGGGAGCGGTGCGCTAACACTTTATACAGAGCCACAGCGACACCCTTCGGTCAGAGATGGACACATGTCTGCTAGTTCACTCCTGGGATTAAAAATATCCATCATCTCTTTATTGAACATCTCTTAAATCATATACTTATCTGTCTGTCTATATCTCAAATTGCATCTATCTATCTATCCAGTTGTCTGTCCGTCCGTCTGTCTGTCTGTCTATCTATCTATCCAGTTGTCTGTCCATCCGTCCATCCATCTAGCTGTCTGTCTGTCTGTCTATCTATCTATCCAGTTGTCTGTCCGTCTGTCTGTCTGTCTATCTATCTATCTATCTATCTATCCAGTTGTCTGTCCATCCGTCTGTGTCTATCTATCAATCCATCCATCTATCATCTGTCTATCTATCCATCCATTCATCCATCTATCTATCCAGTTGTCTGTCCATCCGTCCATCCATCCAGTTGTCCGTCTATCTATCTATCTATCCATCCATCTATCACCTGTCTATCTATCCAGTTGTCTGTCTATCTATCCATCCATCTATCATCTGTCTATCTATCCATCCATTCATCCATCTATCTATCCAGTTGTCTGTCCATCCGTCCATCCATCCAGTTGTCCGTCTGTCTATCTATCTATCTATCCATCCATCTATCACCTGTCTATCTATCCAGTTGTCTGTCTATCTATCCAGTTGTCTGTCCATCCATCCATCTAGCTGTCTGTGTATCTATCTATCCAGTTGTCTGTCCGTCCGTCTATCTATCCAGTTGTCTGTCCGTCCGTCTGTCTATCTATCCAGTTGTCTGTCTATCTATCCATCCATCTATCTAGTTGTTTATCTATCTATCTATCCAGTTGTCTGTCCGTCCATCCATCTATCTATCTAGTTGTCTATCTATCCAGTTGTCTGTCCGTCCAGCCATCCATCCATCCATCTATCTAGTTGTCTGTCTGTCTATCTATCTATCTATCCAGTTGTCTGTCTGTCCATCTATCTAGCTGTCTATCTATCCATCCATCTATCTAGCTGTCTATCTATCCATCCATCTATCTAGTTGTCTATCTATCTATCCAGTTGTCTGTCCATCCATCCATCCAGTTGTCTGTCTGTCTGTCTATCTATCCATCTGTCGGTTCATCCATCCATCCATCCATCTAGCTATCTGTCTGTCTGTCTATCTATCTATCCAGTTGTCTGTCCGTCCGTCTATCTATCTATCCAGTTGTCTGTCTGTCTGTCTATCCGTCTGTCTGTCTATCCATCTGTCGGTCCATCCATCCATCCATCCATCTAGCTATCTGTCTGTCTGTCTATCTATCTATCCAGTTGTCTGTCCGTCCGTCTATCTATCTATCTACACATGGATAGAAAACCATACAAGTCACCAATCTGTCCCACTATCTATCCATTTATCTGTCTCTGTGTATCGGTCTGTCTGTATAATAGAAAAATAAGCTCCCTAAGCCCAAATATAAATATTATGCAATGAGAATTTGAGATTCACTCTAAAATGTATTAGAGTGCAGTGGACAATTTATGTTCAGAGAAAGCACAAAAACCAACTTGGCAATTTCCTTCTGAATGCATATGCTACAAAAGAAGGCACATGAATGGAGAGATGTTTTCAAGAGGAAATGTTTATTAGACTGCAGAGATACATTTTTATTAATTCAGGCAAATGTGCAAAGGGTCCAATATTGAATCAATTACATTGCAATCGCTTTTATCATAGTCATACCTAAAGAAAACACAATACAAAATAGTTTGCGTTAGCAAAGGTAAAATATTAGTTTGAAATGTCTTACAAATAATTGCAATGAAAATATAATCAATTTGTGGTTCAAGATACAAAATCATCTGTGCATTACGTGTGCAAAATCTCACATAAAATAATTTAATAAGAAATACAGACATTATGAAATTCAATGTCATACAAATATTGTGGACAGATTTTTCTTTTGAATGGAAATTTCTTTTAAAGCAGTCATTAAATGTTACAATCGTCAAACATCTTTCAAGTGACTGTCCTTCTGAAGTCAACACACGACAAGAGAACAAAAGCACTTTGAAATGTTACATAAAAGATTGAAAGTCTAAGGACACTTTAAAGAAATGTCTCAGCTGGAAGAGGTCTTGTTAATGTTCAGATTAACTCTAGTGGTCATCACCCTACAACTAACACAATACACATATCAGACGCCATCACCTTGGGCTAAATCCGAACTGATTCAATCATCATGTGTCTATGGGCGTTCCTTCAGGCCCTGCGCTCAGACCAACAGAATCAAGCCCTTGTTTTTCATTTCTAAAAAGTCATATCCGATCTACCCTCTGGCTTTTTGTACAAAATTAGAGCATGAAAGTTTAATTACTAGAAAAACATTATCTCCTCTAATGGACATAATTAGAGATGAAGGTTCAACTGATGTCTGTCTTATGAAGAAAAAAAAAAGAGAAATTTAATTTGAATGGAAAATTTTCCTTCTAAGGTGCTTTTCATGTAAGCTCGTTTCCACCACAGAATAAAAAAATAAATAAAAGTATGACTGTTATCTCACATATCAGGCTTTTTTCTTAGAATTATGTATTTATATCTCATAATTGTCTCATAATAATCTCAATTCTGGCTTTTTTTCTACTTGGAATTGGAGTTTACAACAATTTCTCACAATTCAGACTTATTTCAGAACTAAGTTTATATCTTACGATCAACTGTTAATTAAAAGTTAATTAACTGCAATTTACAACTCCCAATTTTGATTTCTTTTTACGATTGCGAGTGTATATCTCATAATTCAGCTATTTCTTTTCAGAATTGTGAGTTTATATCCCACAATTCTGACTTTTCTTCCTACAATTGTGTTTCTATCTTGCAATTCTGAGTTTATATCTCGCATGTCTGACTTTTTTCTCAGAACTGCAAGAAAACAAATCAGAATTGTACAATAGAAATGTGCAATAACAATTATTTATTTATTGTATTCTGTGGTGCAAACAAGCTTCTTGCTGATTGTTTAAAGAATAAAAGCTGCATTTTAAAATTTGCCATTTCTTATTGACCACAATTACTTGCACATTATCGCGGAAAAGATGTTTACAACATCCTATTGGGATATTCCCGTATACATGTACACAGCATTCATGTGCATGTGAATGTGGCCACTGTTCAAATATCTATTAGTATTAGATAAAAACAAAGAACTTGTCATCGACACTGTGGACAAATTTCCCCTTTTTGATTTTGCTTTAAAACATGGCACGGATTTGAGCTACAGCATTCATGGCAACTCCTTAGAAGTTTGAAAATACCACCCCTGAACTGATACAAAACAGCAGAGCCCAAACTCGACTGTCACCCTTTCCCTAAAGACAAAGGCACAGACGCACACGCCGCCTGGGTCCCGCAGATTTCCAGAGAATTCTTCAGAGAACAGCGATAACGAGCAAAAGGAACAGCTTTCATAGGTGCTTTCATCATCGACCGCACCTGGTGGAGTTGGCAGCTGTCTCCCACCCCCTCCAAAACACACCCAGTCTTGAGTACTACCCTCACACACACACACACACATACATAAACAAACACACACTAACTGCATTGTCTTTGTACAGTTAACAAAAGCTTTGAAGTGTTCACTGTGCGTTTTCTCTCTAGAGACTAAAGATGGGAATCTGATTCCTCAGTGGTTCTGCTAATGGTTCTTTCAGTCATTTTGAAGCAGGATGGATAATGATTGGAAAACAACTGTACTGCATTCACTACCCTCTGAAGCCTGTTGTCAAATTATGAAATGAGATTTCAACAGTGACAAATCAAAAATAATTTGTTTTATGCATTCTTGGATAAAAAACAACAGGTTCACCTGTTCTCATTTGATCTGATTCTTTATCTCACCTAAATTTATACATTGTATTTCAAAACAACTTCATGTAATTTTTCTATCTATCATTCATTTTCTGTCCGCAAGGCTTTTAAACCTCCAAAAGTAAAAGTTTTTTCAAAACTTTCTTCACAATTTCTAGGTGAAAATGACAGCTACATTTATTTCTTGAAATTCTACATTTCAAATCATTTTAATGCAACTTCCTTACATTCAAATCGGAATTGGATTCTGCATCCAAATTTAACCCTCATGTTGTGTTCCAGTCATTTTCTTTTGCCAAAAAATTATAATTTTATCGCATTGGACTAAAACTTGCCGACTTTGCTCACACAGAGTACATCAACTCCCAAAATTATAATTACCTTTTCCCCACCTTGTTACACTTGTGGTGTCACCAGTCAAAAATTACCAGCCTACAAAAAAATTGTTCATAAATTTCTCATTATGCTACATTATAACCGAATATTGGATTCGATATAATCAACTTGATTTCTTTAAATTAGCACAGGTTTGATATTTCTTTTTGGAAACGATTGATTATAGGCCTCCTTGATCTGAGCTTATGCACCTCAGTTTTTAAATGAATATTGCTAAAATTAATAATAAAAAATAATAAAATAATGTTTTCAAGAGGAAATGTTTATTAGACTGCAGAGATACATTTTTATTAATTCAGGCAAATGTGCAAAGGGTCCAATATTGAATCAATTACATTGCAATCGCTTTTATCATAGTCATACCTAAAGAAAACACAATACAAAATAGTTTGCGTTAGCAAAGGTAAAATATTAGTTTGAAATGTCTTACAAATAATTGCAATGAAAATATAATCAATTTGTGGTTCAAGATACAAAATCATCTGTGCATTACGTGTGCAAAATCTCACATAAAATAATTTAATAAGAAATACAGACATTATGAAATTCAATGTCATACAAATATTGTGGACAGATTTTTCTTTTGAATGGAAATTTCTTTTAAAGCAGTAATTAAATGTTACAATCGTCAAACATCTTTCAAGTGACTGTCCTTCTGAAGTCAACACACGACAAGAGAACAAAAGCACTTTGAAATGTTACATAAAAGATTGAAAGTCT